TGTGTGTGTGTGTGTGTGTGTGTGTGTGTGTGTGTGTGTGTGTGTGTATGAGGTATGTGTGCACTGAGAGGGGGGTACTTTCCTGCAAATAAGCCCAAGAAAAAGGTCAGAGATCCAGCTTTATCACTCTCGACCATATTCCCTTGAGATAGGACTTCACACTGAACCAGAGCTAGGCTGGTGGCTAGCAGGCCCCAGCAATCCTGTCTCTAACCCTCACACAGAGCTGGAGTTGTGGGCACATAGCCATGCCTGGCTTAGGTGAAAAAGAAACAGAGAGATTAGCTTCGCAGAGCATAGCACCAGCAGGAGGGTCTGACTTGATTCACAGACCCATGGGAGAAAACAACCATTGGAGATTTACATATGTGGGCTTTGATGGTACACAGTGCCACTCTCAGGACACAGTCTGCTGTGTGTAAAGACAGGATCTCCTTCACAGCTGAAGTTGGACCTAAACTAGAGATCCTCTTGTCCCCATCTCCAAGTGCTGGGACCAGAGCCCTCTGTCACTACACTGGGAGACATGGAAGGTGCTCTCCTTGTCCTCAGGCCCATAGTTGTGTGTAGTCTGTCCAAATGGGTGCAGTTAAGAGTAGAAAGTGACGCTGGAGAGAAAACTCGGAAGTTAAAAGTACTCACTGCTTGGTACCTCGTGGTGCGGCTGACTTACAACCACCTATGACTCCAGTCCAGGGGATCCAACGCCCTCTCTTCTTGCCTCCACTGGTACCAGCACACACATGATGCATGCATGCATACTTGCAGACAAATACTCATACATATAAAGTTTAAAAAAAAAAAAAAAAAGAGTGGAAAAATCCCAGTATGATGGCGCACATCTGTAATTCCAGCACCAAGGAGGGTGAAGGACCTTGAGTTCAAAGCCAGTTTGGGCTGAGAAACAAGAAAATCTACCCCTCCTATGGCATGCCAGTCGGGGATAAAACCTCTTGTTCCTGGAGACACTATTCAAACCAGACACTATTTCTATAAAAGAACCTTAAGACCAGCTACAACAAACACTGTAGAAAACAAGACAAATTCAGAAAGTGTTGGGTGCTGGGAGACTTCACTGTGACACCATCCTCAAACATGATCTGTGCTGGCTTCTTTGAAAGATTAGTGACGATCACCAGGAATCAAGGTCAACTGGATTTTGACACAGCAACAGCTCAACTCTCACTAACGTAAGTAATTACATTTCTTACATTACACTACTCCTCCTCAAACCTCAGTGTCTAGGCGGGTAAGATCCAGATCTCAGGCTCAATAGCGTGTGGCATTCCACTCAACCCTGACTAAGCACAGATCTGTCACTTAAGGTAGAGATTCTAAAGTTTTTCTAAGCAGTACATACGCCAGAGTTACACTTACACACACACTGCACATATAAGGGTTGGAGGACAGCTTTCTGGAGTCTGGTCTCTCCACACGTCATGGGGTTTCCAGGAATGGAACTTGGGTCAGAGTTAGCAGCAAGTGCCTTTACCTACTGGGCCATCCTACCAGTCCCTCAGAGATTTCACAATCTCACAGAGCCAACTACAAGTATAAAAAAGGAAACTTTTCTTAAAGTAACAGTACTGAAAAAGAATACAGAATATATATTTACATACATACATACTACATACATGCCCACTGTGTTAGTCAGGGTTCTCTAGAGTCACAGAACTTATAGGTAGTATCTATATAGTAAGGGGATTTGTTGATGACTTATAGTCTGTAGTCACTCCTCACAAGGCAAGCAGGCAGAGAATCTTCCTTCTTCCAGTGTCCTTATGTAGGCCTCCAGCAGAAGGTGTGGCCCAGATTAAAGGTGTGCACCACCACACCTGGATCTGGGACTTGCTTTGTCCCAGATGACCTTGAACTCAGACATCTCCTTGCCTTGATCTCCTGGGATTCATAGGCACCATGCCTCAAGATCTCCACGCCAAGACCCAGGTCAGAAACTTGTGTTTCCCAGCCTCAAGATCTGAATCACAGGTGAGCCTTCCAATTCTGGATTCTAGTTCATTCCAGATATAGTCAAGTTGACAACCAGGAATAGCCTCTACACTCACACATGCATGCACACACACACATACACACACACCACACTCACACCAGATAACACACATACCACATATAGATACCACACTTACACATGCATACACATACACACCAGATACCACATACACACTCACAAAAGCATGCACATACACACCCAATACCACACATACCATACACATATCACACTCACACACATCCCAGAGTGAGCTGAAGCTGA